TTATTTTTTGCTTCAAGCTTCTGTTTTATATTATGGGTATTTATAAAAGGTTATAAGGGAGAGTTTCTACCCTGAGTCTAAATTTTGACCAGTTAGTGAATTTTTGAAATCAATGGAATCCAAGGAAGATTTTCCATTAGTGTTACTGAGGATTTATTTTGACTGGAGCATGAGGCCTCTTTATTTATTAAAACTGCCTAATACTTGCTGCTTTCAGGTAAATAATAATTTTATGAGGTGTGATGAGGAGCACAGTCTGGTAAAGAAAAATGAATCCATTTTTAATCAGTCTTCTACCTCCTTTGTTGCCAGGCTGTTTATATAATTAATGACTATAAAGTTATATCTTTAAAATTTCTGTTCTGTATCATCAGTGTTTTGAAACATGGGCATGAACATGTTTCTAGTCTAGTTTCTACATGTTCTTCTAGTATAATACCAAAGAGAAAAACAGTTCATTGGAATATTTATTTCTCTACCTGTACAGACTCACTTAGACATTTTAATAAGTAGAACTACATTAATACAATATGCAGGTGGCATAATGCATCAGTAATCTTTATTTTTGCTGGGATAAGATCAAAATGTGCAAATCAATGTAGAGAAAAGCACTAGCAAGCTTCACATGTGAACACATGATGAATACAGTATTATTTATGAGAATTAAAGATGGTTGCTCTTAAATCACAAGTGGTGTTTGTTTGCTATGAATGAGACTTTAAAAAAGATTTTTTTTTTTCCTCAAAAGAAACAGCAAACAGGAAAATAATTTTGAAAATACTTGTTTGTAAATCAGTTGGATAAAACCCGTGTACCTTTCTCATGGATGAGAAACAGCAAGTAAGTATTGGACATTCAAAATCCTACATGATATAAGGAAAAATTTTACATTTACATAAGGAAAAAAAAATTACACTTCTAGTGCAGTCTTACCTTGATTTAATCCAGTGAAACCTGCAGGAGGAATTAGGAGATTCATTTAAATGAATATATTTGCACTACTGTGAATACAGAGAAAGTGAAGCCCAGCTCAGGTCCAAATTTTTTGTTGCAATGCACCTCAGATTTAACAGCCTAAATCATTTGACCCCAAAGCTTCTTGAATGTAACAGACTCTTGTATAAATGGCTTTTATATCACTGGAGTGCTGGAAAGAGTGACAGTGCAATCCAGAGAAATCTCTCCTCCCGTGCCAATAATGCCTGCTGAAGCAATCACTGTAGGAGATGCTGGAGGGAGGAAACCTGAACTGGACAATGCCTAAATAATACGTTTTCCTTGTGGGATCGAAGGTGAAAATGGAACCTTACCTGCATTTTGGTGCTTATACATCTCCAGGTGTGCATGTGTGTGTTTGTACACGTGTACCAACTTACTGCCTTAGGATTTTTTTTTTTCCGGGCATATTTAAGTAGTGGTATGAATATCTTATTTGAAATCTACATAGCAGAAAGGGAGAAATCACTGAAGGGAGGAATATTGACACAGAAAAATAAGGAAAAAAGTGGTTTTAATATAACGAACCTATCTTTTCCTCTTGAGGGTGGAGGGAAGTTGCATAAAGTTATTTCACTTGCTTTTTATCAGGTGCCTCTGCTTTGTATCTCTTTACCACTGAAATTAGTAGTGCTGTTTGCCTCAGCTGGTCTGTCAATCCATCAGTGTCAAAATAAAAAAAATAAAGTCAGGTTAGCAGGAGAAAATCTGCATACAGTTTGCTCTTAATAAAGTCCCTTTTGTCTCTGGAGAAATTATTCATGGAGAGAACCCTCAGTGTGCAAAATAAGCCCGTTGCTCTCCCTGCCACTGCCTACAGCTGCATGTTTGCTCACCTTTTCCTAACTTGTCATTCTCCAGGAGCAGAAGAAATGAAAAGGGAGTTATTTTCTTCCAGTGCCACCAGCCGAAGAAGTCTCAGGTCTCCAGCTGGGTTTCCTCAGCTCTGTTGGATGTTGGTGCAGTTGCTTGCTCATGGCAGAGGTCAGTCAGGACTCTGTTCTTCAAGCCATAAGAGGAAACCAAATCTGGGCTACGTGTATTTTGGGGTTTATTTTCCATAAAATGATGTGGACCATTGAATGTGTTATTGGTTAATAAAAAAGGCAAAATGCTATTAAAGGTTGTAAAAAGCAGATTAAATAGAAGCTAAGTGTTGGGGTGAGATACAGAGTGTTGATCACAAAAGGTTTCATGAGGGAGTTGTCTTAGGTAAGAAATTGATAATGAAGAAAAAGAGCAATGTAAATGATATTTTGCTTAAAATGTTAAGTACCCTCACATAGACAACATCTGTGCAAGAAAAAGCAGTTTTGAGTCACCAGTCAAGTACTGGGAGCTGAATTTTGGGCAGCAGTGTTGTATGGGAAGTAGGACAGTATGCACTGAGGCAGCAGGAATTGCTACTCTGAAGAATGTCTTGAAGGACAATAAAAAGTGGGTCTACTTTTGGAGGCAAAGGCGGGGATGAGGGGAGTCAGACCTGCCAATATTGAGGAGCTGGATGGTGGAGCAAAGAGCTAAAATGAGGCTGGGTGGAGGGGAAGCACTGCTGCAAGAGTTCTTAAAGACAAGTTTCCAGAAACTCAGGCCTGTAGAAATCAGTGATAATTAATCTCTAGAACCCCCCTGCCTCCTTTTTATTCACTTATCCTGGGGGGGTATTTCTACTTTTAACCCCAGGATGGTGAGGGCTGGGTTTCCCTGCCACGGCACTGTGGCATGCAGGGATCCTGCAGCAGCTGGGGGACTGATTCCCTGGAAAGGCTGAAGACTCAAGCAGCTCTTTAGAGTGTTTTTCAGATGCAGGGAAACACAAGTGGAGGCCAGTTCAGTGTGTGGGTGAGAGGGGAGTGCATCAGGCTCTGTGTGCTGCAGTGTCACATCGGAGCTGCCTCTCCCCTCCGTTGTTCAATCACTGCGCAGGGTTTGGAGAGATGCATCAGCCGGAGCAGCTAAATATGACAGGATTTTCCTCAAATGCTGCAGCTACCCAAACACCCCTCTTTGCAAGATGATTTTAAAGAAAACTGCATGCCTTTTGATGGCAGAGCTGAGACCCCTTTCCAGGGAGTGTGAATGTCTGGGGAGCTGTTGGCTGCTTTCCATCTCCACCTTGCAATGGGGAGGAGCAGGGCAGGGCTGAGCAGATACTGCCAGCCAGAGAATTCTGTTCTGAAGTGCTGCAGAATAGTGCTAAAATTGCTAGAATGCTGCTGGAATTCTAGTAACGGGGAAGCAAAACCCTAGTGGTCATCAGGGATTCCCTGTCTGTGACCATTCAGCAGGCAGCTGTCTCAAATTCAGTGGCCTCGTGGATGGAGAAAGCTCCACAGAATAACTGGCAAGCTTTCTTTTCATCTTTTAAATCCATAATGCATGTATATATACATATTGTTAATAATTCATATTAATGGAGAGCTCTTGCCCAAGAGCACATTCCCCTATCACAGAAAATAAATTGTTTAATGATGTCTAGGATAGAAATCAGAGGCTGACTCTAAATCCAGCTATTACGGAACAGTGCTAGACATGCAGTGCACACTTCCATAAACAAATAAATTCATTACAGTTTAATAACAGTGGAAATAAAAAATGTAAGGTAATTTAAATAATGTGCAAAATAGAGCGATATTTTATCCTAAAACCATAATGCCAAGTACTCACATTCTCAGGAATTCTTGAAAGCTTTCGGGGCTGCCCTTAAGTGCAGGTAAACAATAAGGTGGAATTTTACTGTTGTCATTGTGGCCTACATTTACAGGGAGGCAAAATTCAGTTTTGTGGTGGTAGTTGTCCAAGCCTGGGTGTTAGATGGAAAAGAGTCTGGGAATGCTCAGTTTGGTGCTGGGTCACTCAGTAGGTTTGTGTAGGAGACTGGGGGATTTGAGAGCAAAGGACAGAATCTGCAGAGCCTCCCTGCCACTGAGGAAAAGCAGGGTTTGGAGATGTCAATGGTGCACTGCGGGGGTGGAAAGGAAGGTGAGGAACTGAAACAGGACCTTACAAGCTTAAATTGCAGGAGTTTTGCAGAGAAATTTTGCCAGTTGTCTGGACCCTTTGATTGTTGGATAATTCAAGCACCTTGTTTTCATGTCTTTTAAAACAAAATAAAAAGAGGGATCTATTTCTTGCTTAGAAATGGGTAATAACAGGAGATTCAGTAGTGACTGACTTGTTGTTTTTCTAATCCCAGCAACTGAAATATTCCTTAGGATGGTTAGAGCTCAGTTGTGTCCTGTCCTGCTGGCATTCTCCCTGGGAGTGCTCCTCTGCAGTGGATTGCTCCTGGCCATCAGAAACAAACATTCCAGGTGACCCAAAGTGCTCATGTTTTACATATCTTCCATCTTCCCTGCTGTTTCATGGATCCACAATTCATGTGGACCATTTCAGTTGGGTGCTGTGTCAGACCGGGAATTTTTCCAGGTGATTCTGTTATAAATATTTGCGTTCGTTTTCTGATAGTTCAGCTTCAAATAATTTTTTGCTTGTCCTATTAAATGGCTGCTCTGTTTCACAGAATGATCACAGGTATCTTTCCCTGGGGCTGAATTAGGTGTTCCTCTAGGTGATGTGTAAATCTCTTATGCTGTGATAACAATGTCATCCTGCAAGAGGGGCCCTTTCCTGGTCACTGTTCTATTAAAGTATTAATAAGTTGGTATTGGTTTAACTTGAAATCTGCATATCCTCATCTGCAACATCTCTGAATATGTATTTGTAGCCTAAACTCATCTCTCTCAGTGAGGTTTTCATTCTATGAAGGTTTAGGTCAGAAATCTGAAGCCAATCTGGGTTTTGAATTCAGGATATCCAAGTAGGCCTAGATTTGACAGCTTTTGGGGTCTGATTGGAATTTCTGGATCTATTAAATGGTTCTGAAGGCTCCTTCTGAGACTGCTGAGAAAAATTTGGATGTTCTCTTACCACAACCCTATCACACTGATCATCAGCCTCACAGACTGAAGGTTTAACATCCCAAGCATGCCATATCTGTGTATTAATAACCATTAATGGCATCTCAGCCAATTATTTTCCCTGAAGATCTCACCATACCATTTGGCATCTCACCAAATTTTTAAAATTACCAAATTCAGTAACTGAATTTGGTAATTTTAAAAATGCTGGCTATATTATTTTTGTTTTAAAGTCTCTGCAGCAATTTGTACATTAATTCTCCTTTCACAAGCAGGAGAGATTTTGAGAACTGGCTTTTCCTTGATGTTTGTCAAAGGGAACTAATTTTTTATTCAATAATACATTTTTTCTTTCAAATCACCCAGAAATTTTAATATACTTGCTCTGTTACAGAATAAGAAAATGACTGTTTATCCCAATGGATATTTTTTTCAGGGAAAAAAAAAACCCTCTTTGCTTATTTGAGGATTTAAACATGAATTCTAGTTTCTTCTCAGCTCTCTGTCTTGTGATGCTCCTTGTCAGATTAATGTGTTTTAAAGCTGTTGGTTGGTACCTGAGCTGCCAAAAAAGAAGATTAAAACCACACCTTTCATTTTGGGGGACTCATTTTGCATTGCAAAATACAGAGGAAGAGAAAGCAAACCTTTCCTGCTTACTGCTGGCATGCATCTGAGGCTGGCTATGTGTGCCATTATGTTTGGGGTTAGGAAGAAATTTCAGTTTCTGTCAGCCCTGGATATTCACACTAGAACAGATTCAAGATCCTGAAATGGTTTTTGTTTTGTGAGGAACAGAATGTACAGAAATGAGGGGTCATGGGTTTGATTTTTATCTCAGGCACAAACGGGGCGTGTGACTCAGGACAGAAATAATTTCTCTCTGCTTCCTTCAGGAGACTGGGACTGTTCCATTTGCCTTCCAATGCAGTGGATACACTTACCTTGTACAGTTAATAACTAGATTATATATTTATATTAACTTTTTAATTTTCATGAAGTTTTCAGCTAGGAAAAGAGAGAGAGACAATGTATTAATGTAATTAATACTAACAAAGTACTTTTTTCCAGATATAATTTCAGAAGAAATTGCTGAGCAAATCCTCAGTGTATTTTTACACAAATATAAATAATTTCTGAAAGAAATACAGAGGATAACCCATGAGTTCAAGCAACAGGGAGGCATTCTGCAGCAGCTCCCTTTGGTCCCAGGTTCTGATGAGACCATCAAGGCTGGCCAAGGCCCATAAACACTGCAGAGGTTTGGAGTGATCTTGTTCACCAGTGCCACTAATCCAGTTTTAAATCAATTTTTCAGAACCTGGCTCCTTTTCTCCTCTCAGTCTGAGTAATAAAGTGCATTCAGGGGAGATGATGCACATGAGAAAGTGCTGCTCATTTCACAGGGCTTGAAGAATAATCCAGGACTATATATTTCTCTAGTGTTTCAGTTAGTGTTTAAGTGATTCAGCCATCATTTTGGCTATTGCACTTATTATAGAAGGTGCTTGATTTTGATCTAATATGTTCTGAAGTCTTTTAAGACCATTTTTTTACAGTTTCTTAAAGTAAGAGCCTGTTCCACTCTCAATGACCATAAATAACTCACTTTTCTGCATATGGATATATCACCATATCTTGCAGACAGGTCAGTTTTTTACATGGAGCAAAAAAAACCTGATGTGGGAAAAAAACCTGGATAAAACAGTGAAATCAAACAACAGCAGATCCCTATGCACATATGATGGATAGGCATACTTTAATGAAAAATTAAGCATTTAAAATCCAGATCTTGCCTCTGTGCTTCTTTTGTTGAAATTACAAAACATGCCAATTTTTCCATTCATGCCAAATACCAACTAGGAAGACAATAAAAAAAACCAACCAAAACAAGAGAGACCCTTATTGTCACTGGCAGAAGGGTTTCTTTCACTGGGGTATAATGAAATGACCTGGCTTTTTTTGGGTAAGGTTTTGGCTGCTTGAAGTCAGCACATTTTCAGTGTGTGTTTTTGTAGGCGCTGTTTAGGAAAGGACAGGCTGACCACAGATTTCCAGAGATTCTATGTTGGATTTTGCTGACAGGCAATATTTTGGTTCTTATAAATAATTGGATCTTATAAAGAATCATTTGCTCAATTTTGATATGTCCCACAACTTTCTCAAATTGTTGTTTAGTGCTAAAATAAGATTGTAATTGAATTAGTTGCAGGTTTTTGAAGAAATATTTTTTGTTACATTGAGCGTGATGAACAGTGATTTTGTTTGTATGTGCAACAGGTCACTTCTGTGAACAGATTTCTTCCAGACTGAAAAATGCCAACCAAAACTGTGAATGCATTTGGACCAGGTCACATTGAAAAAATATAAAAGTATGTTCAATTATGCAATATACAATTTCCCTTTCTCCTTCTGTCCCAGGTGGGTGTTGTGTGACAGGATGGAGTGTGCCTGGTTACCATAGGAATGCAACATGCAAGGAAGATTCTAAATAGAAAGCAGTTAATCTAACTAAGCATCTTTTGGTGCCACTGCCTCATTCTTTAAATCCTTAACACCTATAACATTTAAAAGGCAGATATTTGGAAATAAGCTTTACCCAGCAAAGTTACAGAACCCTGAGAAAACACCTGGAGGAAAGGCAAGTGTGTAAATGTGCAGCTCAGGGGGGATCAGTGTTTTTATCTCTTACAAGAGACACACAATTCCTGTCAGCTGCAGAGCTGATGGGATCTGAACAAGGCTTTTCATGCCCGTTGCCTTCCACTCTTCATCAGTTCTGCTCTGTCATGGTTAATGTTCTCCCTTGCAGCAACCTTAATTGTTTTTTGAGGGTTAGAAGAGTGATCATAATCGCTGCTGTTATGGATTTAATTCTGATCTGCAAAGAGACTGTGCTGTGAGCAAACGTTTTCATTTTGAGCACTTAAATCAATGGTTTTCAATTACAAATAGAGAACACAGGAGCTGGAAATGTTCCTTACCAGAGGGTAGATCCTGCCCCTATTTGTCACTCACATTGCTTATTTTTCAGGCATTCACAGTTGAAATTCTGAGCTCTGGAAATAAAGGATGTGGTATCTTGTTGTGGTGTTGTGAGGGTCCTCAGGATGAGGTGAGAGATGGGAATTTGACTCCAAGTTCTCAAAAGGCTGATTCGTCATATTATGATAATATTATGACTATATTTTGTTATTATATTACAATAATATTATATTAACTATATTATATTTATTATATAATGTTATTTATATGATATTTATTATATTATATTGAAATGATATACTAAAACTATACTAAAGAAAGGAGAGTTCTGATTAAGGCTAGAAAAGAATGAATAATAAAAACTCGTGGCAGACGCAGAAAGTCCGACACAGCTGATGGTGTTTGGCCATTAATTAAAAAACAATTCACATGTTTGGATAAACAATCTCCAGACCACATTCCAGAGCAGCAAAACATGGAGAAGCTGAGACTTCTCTCATCTTCTCAGGGGAAGAAATCCTGGCAAAGGGATTTTTCAGGAACTATCGTGGTGACAGTATCTACAAAAAAAACATTCCACTTGTGGATGATCTCTAACTAATTGGTGAGTACAGATTAAAAAAAACAGCTTAGGTGGCCACATTCTCTTGAGTGCCTTGCCATGAAATGGCATTTGGGCTATGAATGGAGTGTTCTCCTTTCTTCTTCCCTGTGTTCAAGTTTTGTGTGCCACAAAGGTTTATTCCTACAGCAATGTGCTGCTCTTTGTTGCTGTTTGACCTGTTAATGTTTATTTCTGTTCTTCCACCCTCAACTTACAGCAGTGTGGAATTGTTTTGTGCCTACATCCTGGCAATGCCATGGGGGAACCTCCAGGGAAGCAGCTGCTGATTATGGCAATGTATCAGGGGAAATCCCATCCCTTGAAAGAACGCATAGCCAGGAGCATCACTTCATTAAAACAACTCCACTTAAACTGAGCTTCTCGTTGCGAAATTCAGAGTACTGAGACAATACCAGCAGTAGAAAAAAGAATGAAAACTCCCAGCTGAAATAATGCCCAGAAATTGCATTCACTCAGTGCCAAAGACCTGTGGATGGCTGCAGTCTGACAAAGCTCTTCACTGAGCTAGTTCAGGTAAGCACACTTTACATATGAGTAAATTTTGTGTCATTTTTCTTGTATTTCCTCCTAGGTATTTGGGGTTACAGTGCAAATATTCTGTCTTATCTGAGTAGCTGTTTACTTTAAATTGTCTCATGAATTTAATTAGGTACTTTTGAATTTTGGTGCTGTTCACTGTCAGTGCAGCCAGTGATGGGTGCCAGTAGTAAATGCCTTATTGTCTGTATATCACGTTACACTGACACTGCTGTCTACACATCTGGTCACCAGTGTGACAGAGCTCTATCTACTCTTGGAATTTTGTAGTGATAATGGAATGTTAAAGAGAATAAAATACATGTGTGGGTTAGTATTTAGGCACACATTTTCACATCACTTTCAGTCACTGAATCATCATCATTAAAAAAAAAAAACACAACAAATTGCAAATAATTAGACCTAAAGTCAGCACAATATATATGCCCCTATACATATATATACACACACACCATATATATATATATGCCTATATATACACACTCTACACATATGTATATATATAGTACATATATATATGTATATATTGTATATATATGCATATATACTGTATATATGTAAATATGCATGTATAAAATATATATGCATGCACATAAATATATATATATATAAATAAACATATAAATAATATATGTATATAACACTATACGCTATAAAGCAAATTGCACATGCATCCCATACTTGTTTCTTAATATAACAGCATCCAGGTAGTATAATGCTGCATTTTCCAATTATGAAGAATAACAAAACTAACCAGGATGACTGATATAATGCTGCATTTTCCAATTATGAAGAATAACAAAACTAACCAGGATGACTGATTTCAGACACTTATGCTTATGCCCCACCTTATTCTACATTATTTGATAAGAGAGACTTGCCATTAACACTTTAGAGAAAACCTTTCTTTGTTGGTTGAAAAGCCAGACCATAAAATAAGTGGTGATGTGAATTGTGATGTACTGTAGCTAATACTGGTTCAGTATAAACTGTGTAAGTTTGTCACTGGTGAAATAGTTCTACTGGCTTTGGGAATGGTAGAAAATTGCCAATCTTAGAAACATTGGTAAATATTTATCTATATCTATCTATCTATGTATAATAATCATATGGATATCAATTAATCAACACAAACATTCCAAAACTTGTGAGCAAAGCCACACTGCCCTGGTGTTGCTCTTACCTTTGGTGTGATGTGAAACCACTTCTCAGTGGTGTAAAGAAACACTGCTCAACAGTGCAGAGTGGCATAATTCAAAGCCTTATTTAAACATGCATGAGGGAAGATTAAATCCATTTTTGAAATGTTGTGTCATTTAAAATACATATTTTATTTAGTACATTTGCTATTAATTTTAATCTCAGTGATAAAAATATATTGATAGAATTTAAATGAAAATTTCTGTTGAAGCTTAAAGCTCTACATAGAAGTGTGGGATTTTTTGGGTGTTTGGTTTTTGGTTTGCCTTTAGGTTTTTTGGCATGTGTGTGTTTTTTTCATTCATGTGGTAATGAGAAAAAAAACTCAGAGTGGTGGTAGAATATCCATCCTTAGAGGTTTTCAGGATTCAGGTGGACAGAGCCATGGCTGACCTGCCAAGCTGCATGGAAAACCATCGACCCTGGTGATTTCATTAAAGGTAAAAAATTACTGCTAAAAATCAACTCAAGCACAAGTGGGATCACAAGGGACAGCTGAACCTTGTGCATGGAGCAGGGATAAATCAGCATCTCCATTTAACCCAGTGTCTGCCAACTGACAAAAAATCATAATTAAAATCCAGGTTGGATCAATGGCATTGAAATCCCAGATTATTTTCCAAATTAAGAAAGTTTTTAACCAACTCTGTGTGTGTTTTCCTTCACTTTTTAACACTGGCACAAAAATCACTTGTGAAATTCTGAAGCAGAGGAAGGACAGGTGGCTGTGTCTAAAGACACATGGCAAGGCATAAAATGTGAGAATTTTCATTCTTTGTGTAGTTACCAGTAACTTAATCCTGTTTTTCTTGTATGCAGTGTTGGGGTAGAACATATTTTTACTTATGCTTTGCTTTTAATGGTTTAAATTCATTTTTTGACAACTGACATTTTCTAATCTCTTTGGATTTCATCAAGGGTTGATTTGTTTTTAAAAAACCACAATTATGCTATATATTTATTCACTACATCAAGTGAAACCTTTTCACTTTGAGATGTTTGGGGAATTATTAGTTTTATTGATTATTTTACAGTTAAATTGTATTCTATCAAGTTGAATGGGTCAAAGGTTTTCAAAACCCCTTTATTCATCCAAGTAATTTAAGATGCAGTTCAGTTACAGTGGCAGGACTGTTCTCACTTTGGTTCAACATCTCAAGTTTCAAGTTGTTCTCCTGGTCCCCTTAGATCATCCTATTGATTTGCAAGGCATTGATTTACTTTGCTGCTCTGCCAGCAGCCATAAGAACATAGTTTGCTTGTAGCCTTAAAAAATATTCCCAAACACTGCTCACAGATTAAGTTTGAGGAGTAGGCTCCATGGCTTTCAGTCAGATTTCTCTTTAAAATATTTCTGTGTAGAAACAAAAGAAAAATGTGTTTCATGTTAGTTGCATTTCCCACCGACGAACAGCTTAGGCAAAGAAATTGGAATTAGCAGATTCATCTTAGCCCAGTAATGTTGGTTTTTTTTAATTTATTTTAGTTTGCACATGTATTAGTTTTCTAGAAGATGTAATTGCATTCAGGCTTTTCATTTTGGTGCAAAACTGACATGCATAGACTTTTGCCTGAAGTTGCAGATATTTCTGTGCAGCACAGATGTGTCAGACAGAGATTGGTGAGCAAGCAGTTTGCAGTGGGACTCTCTGCAGACCCCTGCAGCAGGAGGCCCCACAGTTCCTCATCAGGAAAATGAGCAGGTTACTGCAAAATCCATTCACTCTCTATTTCCTAGAGCAGCTTTTCCTTTGTTCCCCTTCCAGTGGCATGACAGAGTGTCTGTCTGTGATGGGACAGCATCTCCAGGTCCCCACTCTGTCTGGTCAGCCTTATTTGGAAGTGCCCAAAACCAGGGAGTGGATGTGGCAGCTGGGAACATGGTTTTGTGTTGAGCACACAGTCATCTTAGAGATCCTTTCCAACCCCAGTGATTTTATAATTCAAGGAAAGGTGTTAAAAGAAGGAATTTCCTCCTTGCATGTTGATCTGCCTTGTGGAATGAAATTTGGAAACCTTCAGCATGTTATATTGATGTTATGCTCTAAAAATATATTCTCTCTGGCCATTGCAGATTCAAGAAAAACTGTCCAAGTTGAAAGAGATTGTGAGATGGACAGGTGAGGGGTTTGTGTTCAGCCACAGCCTGAAGCAAAAGGGACTTTAGGGAGGCTGCTGAGGCAGGATGCAGGGAAGGAAGGAAAATATATCTGTCACTTTTGATAGAGAGAAGGTGGTGGGTTTGGGGGACTCTGGGCTCACTTCCACTTCTGACTGTTGGAGTAGAAAAGTGAGGCTGGTTGTGTTCACAGAGTATTGGGTTTTTTTCCTTTAAAGTCAAGCAAGGTATGACAAAGCACCCAGGAAGCTTGGGGAAAAGCAACCTCTTCACTGCAAAGAAACACACTTCTCAGAGCTGCAAAGAGACAATATTGAAGGTTCCCAGTGGCCGACATCAAGACAAGTGCCAAAAGTAAATGTAACTACAGAAAGAGAGGGGAAATTACAGAGTCACTGAGCTCTCAAGACGCGTGGCAAACACAGAAAGATAAAACCTCTCTGCTGGTAATAGCCAGATATAAACTCTCAATTCCCTATATGAAGCATTTTGCTGCTGCAATGCTGAGCCTTTTGTCACTTTTTCCAGAAGCACTGATTATCTGGCATATAGAATACCATTATTTACCATATGTCTTCATGATCTAACTTGTCTTCCTTGCTGGGTTTAGTGTACCAACCTTCCTGCTCTGTTACTGTCATGTCAACTTTATTTACTCTGCCTTTAAATGCTTACTACAGCAAAATGACTTTGCCGTGGATTAGTGTTTAGGAGTATCCACATTCATAGTACATTCTCTGACTGGTGCATAACATGCCTTTGATTCAAACATTTGAAATGTCAGATTTAGGGCTTTTATGTCTAGAAATTAGTATTTTATTATTTAATCACTAAAGACAGCTATGCTTTAATAAATATAATTTTATATGTAGGAAATCTTATATTAATGCAAAAAGAACATCTTGTTCTTAACATCAGCTGTTAAATTTTATAACAGTAAATTAATAAGCTTACTTAAAGGAACAATCCTTTATAAACAGTTGGGTGAAGAAGCACAGACCAGCCCCTGCTGCAAGAGGATGAACATGTGATAAGTCATGCTCATACCTAAGATGAGCCATAAATAAGAATAGCTCTGTATTGATGCCTTTGTTTGAGAAAGCCCCAAGACTCATTACAATAGAAATTGTGAGTTGTCTTTGGTACAGAATTTCCTGGTTTTTCTGGGCAACCAGACAATGGAGCTTTTGGAATCTTAAGTGTTTCTTATCAACTTCCCAAGAGGAAGCTCTGCTGTGATGACTTATGATTCAAATATGATCTGCCCACAGCTTTGGCCAAATTCCTCCATTAAAAACAGAAGCAACTGTACCTTGCAGTTCCCCAGTGTCTCATTGAGCTATTAGCTCTGCCTTCCCACCACATTTTGCACCTGGAAGTGCACTTTTAAAAATAACCCCTGGTTCCAGTGCCATTCCTCAATAAAAGTTCCTTTCATCCTTTTGATTTCCTGCCTCAGGAAGGATGGAGAACCCAGTACCACACATGGGGAAAAATCTGGGAGCACAGCCAACAGAAGCAGCAGGAATGAAAGCCAAACACTGGGATTCCAACCGGAACAATTCTTCCCTCTTCCTGCCCAGGAACCTAAAAAGCCCCCTGGAATGCCATGGAATCAGGGGATTCCTGAATAACACACACCTGTGGGTTATTTCCC